TTTTTTTGTCCTTTTTATTACACCACGGACAACGGCCCGGCAGTCTCAGCCAAGGGAGACGAAGAACAACAACAACAAAAAATCAGGGCCGCCGCCTCTCTATCTGTTTATCTCTCTCTCTCTCTCTCTCTCTCTCTCTCTCTCTCTCTCTCTCTCTCTCTCTCTCTCTCTCTCTCTCTCTCTCTCTCTCTCCCCGTTGAAAGGACGATGTAGTAAGGTGCGGGAAGTGGCCAAACTCACATGCACTATGCCGTCTTCAGCGAACGAACTGGACTTACTCCAAGTCGGAGTCGCAGATGAGGCAAGAGATGATGGGGTCCTCAGAATTTATACGTGGGAATTTGGAAATGAGCCCACACACACACACACACACACACACAGAGAGAGAGAGAGAGAGAGAGAGAGAGAGAGAGAGAGAGAGAGCACTCACCACAGAGTCACCAGAGTCACCAGAGTCACCAGAGTCACCGCAACAGCGGCGAAAAGCCCGCTGTTCGCCCTGTATTCGGCAGCGGGCCTGTATCGTTTTTTGGTTTTCTTTGTTTTTGGTTTTAATCCCGGTCTTAGCGCCCGCGCGCTTGCACACACACACACACACAAAACAAAAACAAAAACAAAAAACGTGTGTGGCAATGTGTATTTCCATGTTCTAGGAGTAGATTCATTCGATCTCTGTTTCTCTCTCTCCCTCTCTCTCTCTCTCTCAAATTTTGTGAAACGTGGGGCGGTTGTGAAACGTGGGGCGGCCATGCTCCTGGCATAGGGCCGCGCTCTACTGCTCTCCAAATGTGCAAAATGAGACTGCATCCACGGCTAGAACATGGAAAGATACATTGCCATCGTTTTTGTCTTTTGTGCATCTGGAGAGTAGTGCAGCGAGGCCCCCAGCCCAGCACTAGCCCAGCACTGCCGCTTCTTCCATCTGAAATTTCTCTCGCTGCTGTAGCCTGTAGCCCCCACTTCACTTGTCATGAAAAATGGAAAGGGCGGGGTGCTGGACTGAGAGGATCTGCAGTCGGGGCACCCCGGGAAAAAGTGGAAACACTAAAAACAAATGACGACCTTTTTTTCTGGACCTCAGGTCCAATTTTTCAAACAGCCTCAACCCCGGGGCAAGGTCCCACTTGCACGGATTAGGAGATTTCGGCCATTGAGTTTCGCTATCGACGGTCAAGATCTCTTAATTTCTGTAGGTGGGACCTAGCCCCCGGTACCTGTACCACGTTTTAATTTTCAGCGGCCGGACTTTCGGAGGCTCGGTAAAACGAATTCCCAGAGTCCACGTCACCTTTTTTTTTTTTTTTTTCTATTAACACGTCACCTTTTTCTTGAACTCTGGGTGAGCTGGTCAAGGGAGTTTTTTATTTTTCTTTTTATTTTTCTGTTTTTTTTTAAAAAGTGTTTGTTTGATTTCAAAAGACAGTATGTAGGGGCCGGGGTCCCCACAACTCGACCCGGAGTAGTGACCTCTGGCAGCCTTAGCCAGTTTCGCTTTTTACAGCAAGTGTAGTATCTGATCTGATCCGTGGTCTATCAAGCCGCTGACATACCGCGAGGACGCGGGCCCGCAGCCCGTATTGTCACCACAAATCCGGTAGCAGTGATAGGGTGCAGGACCGAGGCTTACAGACCCAAGTTAGAATCCAGAAACGTGATGAGCAGGATAAAATGAGTGACCACAAATCCGGTAGCAGTGATAGGGTGCAGGACCGAGGCTTACAGACCCAAGTTCGAATCCAGAAACGTGATGAGCAGGATAAAATGAGTGTGCAATACTTAGGGCCGCCCAGTTATGATACCTCACAGCAGATCTAGTGGCGCAGCTCAATTCGTCAGCCACGCCACCTGCGGTAAAGAAACAAAAAAAGAGGAGGAAAACCAGGTGTAGAGGGCCTCCCGGGAAGGAGGGCGCAAGATGGATTCCCTCTGATGGCTGGAGGGAGACAACAGAGCTAAGCTATATATATATATATATATATATTTTAAAAGGCACGTTGGATTATATTCCAAATCACATTCGCATATCCAGCGGCCTAGCTCAGTTGGTAAGGCACGCAAGTGGCATTCAGGAGGTCTTGGGTTCAATCCCCATTGGCCTCATGCACATTCCTGGGCAAGCTTGGCGCCTGCCACCTAGAGATATGCCGTTGGTCCCTCCGAGTGGCATTGATCAGAGACTGCTGATGTTCATAGGGGGAGGGGACCGGAGGGGGGGCACAGTGACTGGCCCACCGAAGAAGCTCGGTCCTGATGCTACCGGCTGA